AATCGCTATGAGCAAATGTTGGATTTGCTTTTCTGGGCGTATTTCTTAAGATGGTAAGCTCTATGAGAATAAAAACTGTACCTTACTCATAGCCTCTAGACCGAGCACAGTTCCTAGAACCAAGATGGCATGCAATAAATGATAGGTTGTCGGTTGGATGAATTCAAAAATTAATTCCATTATCACTTATCTTTTACTGGTGCAGCTGTGAGATCACCTAAGACCCTGTAATCTTCCTGCAATGTTTCTGAAACAAACTTTGAACGAGCTTCTACTAAGCCAGATCTAGTCTCTCAAAAATTACTTCATGTATTATCTTTGTAAATGTTTTCAAAACATCATATAATCTAAGCAATGGTAACTTTTTCCCAATTGGCTTCAATCCACTTTCTCTATTTCATGAAGTCAGAGAACCTGGGAGTCAACCCCGGTGTCCTCTTGCTCCTTCAAACAACACATCAAATCTATCACCAAGTTCTGCTGATTCCATCTCTAGAATATATTCTAAATCCATCCACTTCTCTCCCATTTCCACTGCCACCTCTCTAGTCTAAGCTACTGTCTTCTTTATCACTGAAAAAGCCTCTAAATAGCGTTTCTGTATTCCACTCTTGCCTAATTCTAATCCATTCTTCATATAGTGGCCAGAAAAAAAAATTTTTTCAATGCAAATCTGATCCTGCTATTTCCTTGCTAAAAATCACTCAATGGTTTCCTACTACAATTACAATAAAAACCCAAATCCTAACTAATGTCCTCAGCCTATCTCTCCAGCCTCATCTTGTGTGACTCTTTTATTCACTGTACTCAAGTTACACTGGTCTTCTTACAGTTCCTCAAATTTACGAAGTTCTTATATGCCTCAAAACATTTACACAGGCTGGAAAATTCTTCTCTCTAGCTCTTTGACTTACTGACCTTCTACTCATCTTTTAGGTCTCTGTAAATTATTACTTCCCTAGAAGAGGAATCCCAACCTCCAGCAATCTAGATCAGGAAGCCCCTGTTATAATCTCTTGCTGCATTCTTATTTTCTTCCTATTACCTATCAGTTTGTAATTAAAGATTTATTTATATGACTATTTATGTATACGACTGTTGTTTTATTGTCTCGCTCATGAAACTGAAAGCTTCATGAAAGTTGAGTTTATGTCCAAAAAAAAAAATGTAGAGTATGTCTTTTTGTTCACCCTACAGCTCTCATATCATGCCAGGCACATGAATACTAAATCAAAGAACCTCATGGAGAAATAACACCATCGTAAGAATTTTAGTTCACTGCCAATGAAAATAAGCACAAATAAGAATTCAAAAATCTAGCTCTTTAGTTCCTTGGTGCCAGATACACACATGGACAATCACAAGTTTAATAAAATGCTGGAAGAAACACACAGTTAGCTAGATTACTGTTGATACAAATTTATAGTGTCTCCACTGGGCCTCAGCAAGGCTCAGCATCCCTTTTAACACTTTCTAGTCAATCTTTCTCCTCACACCGCTACTATTCCAACTCCTGCCAACCAGACATTTAGAAAAAAGGAAGAGCAATCCAGACAGAGGGAGGAGTAAGTACAAAGGCTCCAAGGCAGGAGGGTGCTTGGTTGTCTGAGAAAGAGGAGTCCTGTGGCTGGAGTCAAATGAACAAGGGCCAGAACAAGGGGAGTAGCCAAAGAAAAAGGCAGCCATGAGATGCTACTGGGTCTTAAAGATAAGGATAAAAACTTTGTTAAAAATTCTAGGCAAGTGCTTGCTTCAGCAGCACATATACTAAAAATTCTAAACAAGACTGAAAGACATTAAAGGTTTTCTGTGCAGAGGAGTGGTATGATCTTAAGTTTGAAAATATTTACTCTGGCCCCTGTATAAAGAATACAGACTGGATATTGGGGTGAGGGACAAAAGTAGAAGCAAGAAGATTAGTCTAGGGATATTACAACAGCCTTATCAAGAGATAATGGTGGCTTAGAATAAGGTAGTAAAGGTAGAAATAGATAGAAGTAGTCATATTCTGGATATATTTTGAAAGTGGAACCACTAGGATTTGCTGATGGATTAAATATGGAGTATGAAACAGAGAGAGAGAGAGAGAAAATCAAGATACCTCTTTGGACCTGAGCAAGTAAAAAGACAAAACTGCCATTTACTCCCACTTTCCACTAAAAGAAACCAAGGATTCTTAGAGAAATGGCTGAATCTACAGCTAGAACAGTAAGAGCCGAGAACATATCACTGTGGTCAAAAGTAATGATGATATATACAAATATCAAATCATTATGTTGTACAACACCTGAAACTAACAGAATGTTATATGTCAATTACACCTAATTTTAAAAAAGAGCTGAATAAACTGGACAGAGTTAAAAAAAAAAAAAAAAAAAGACAGGGAGACATGTCAAAAGGACACAGCAGCTGGCTTGAAGAGGCTCCCCTGCCCAAATCTGGAACAATGTAAGCATCAAAATAAATATCGATAGCAACAAATTATAATTCATAAAATAAGAATCTTCGAGTCTAAATGGAATGAATAGATAAACAGGAAGAAAAAAAGCCTCTTCCTTACAGTAGAATGCCAATTAATAAACTTCATAAAGAAATAATGGAATTAGAGAATCATCTGTTTAGCAACCAACAAAGTAATAGTTTCAGGCAAGAATCACCACTGGATGCTAAATCCAGTGGGTAAAAGTTTGATGAGAAACAGGATATTTACATGGTTTCAAAGTGTATTGCCAGAAGATACTTAGAGAAGGAAAATAATTTACAGAGAAGAAATTCCACCTTAACGAAGTGTTCAGAGTTAACATCGACCTATGCACTTCAGAAATGTCAAAATCATGGAAGATAAAGACTGAAGAATTGTTCTACATTAAAGGAAACTAAGGAGACATGACCATTAAATGAAACACATGATCCTAAACTGGGTAACAACCCAGGGCAAGTTGTTTTTTCCTTTTGCTATAAAAGAACATTAGTGGTACAACTGATAAAATTTGAATAAAATCTTCAGATTGGATAATATACTTTATCTGCGTTAAATTCCCGATTTGATGATCATACTATGATCATGTGCAAGAACATCCTTATTTTTAGGAAATATGCACAGATGAGTAGGAATAAAAGGACATTACCATTATGTCTGCAACTCAGAAAAAAAGTTCCTCAAAAAAGGAACCACCTCCTCCTTTGAATTTCCACTGAACTCCATGTAAATTTCTACTATAGTATCTATAACAATTTGTTTTTCTTATTGGTAGGAAAAGAAATGTGCCTTCAGTGGTTAAACAACCTGCCCAAAGTAGAAGTCAGTAAATGACAAACCACAAATTGAACCAAGATCTAGGTGACTCAAAGCCAATACTTTGTTAAATCATAAGATGGCAGAATGCTCAGCAAATGTTTGCTATTTATACTGTTTTTATTTTTCAAAAATACTCGCATAATGACCTACACAAACAATCTATTCACAAATGGGTTTCTTAATCCAAAGAGTGTCACCTATACAACAGGAATCCCCAGCATCAGCCTTATAAACTCTTACTTTCAAGACAAGAGAGAGAACTCAACTTGGCCAATAGTGAGTTGGTGGCAAAGAAAGAAAAGACACAGGATAAATTAACATAATCTAGAAGAGCCTTTATGATCTAGCCCTTGCGCTTTTCCAATCTCATCTCTTATTGTTATCTATACCTAATATTCTTTATCCTATGTGAAAATTTATTCCCACAATTAAGCATGTTTTCCCCCATTTTCAAGTCTTTGCGCTTCTTTTCCTTCTGATTATATGGGAACCCATTGCTTGTCATCCTGATAAACTCGTACATATTCTTTAAGACCAGCTCATATAGTATTTTCCCTAAATGAATCCTCCTCTGACCTCCCCAGGCACAGGTAAATGCTATCCTCCCAAAACATTATGTACCCTACAATTAAACCTTCCACATGAATGAAATTATTTATTTACAAGTCTCTCCTAGACTATACTTGAGAGAAGGAATCCTATCATTCACTTGGGCATCTTTAGCATCTGAAGCATAAGTAGGTTCTCTGTCTGGGGCGCCTGGGTGGCTCAGTTGGTTAAGCAACTGCCTTCGGCTCAGGTCATGATCCTGGAGTCCCGGGATCGAGTCCCGCGTCGGGCTCCCTGCTC